AAAAGTTGGAGTGAGATGGTTTCTGCACACTGGACGCGGAAACACTTGCCGCGCGGCAAAATGTGATGCGATAGCCAATAAGCTTACAGCTTCTAATGTGTTCATTGGTTATCGTGCATCAAATTGCAAATCTCATTTTGCTATAAGGAGCTATAAGTCAGCCCCACTTTTTAAAACTTCTAGAAATAATATAATATTACTTTCGCCGCGTGGCAAAAGTTGAAGTTTATTAAGTTCAACTAAAGTCATGCGATGGAAATTATATATCTTATTTCCGAGCAAGCGAGATGATTGGCCAATTTCCGCCGCGTGTACAAGAGTCATTAGGCTAGCATCCCATGAACGGAAATTTACAACGGAAAGAAATGATGAGACCAATCATAATCGCAGAAAAGAAAATAGAGTAATGACTGCAAAGTAATTGGTTGTAATTAGTTGCGCTGTTTTGTTCCGTTGTAAATTTTCACTTTATGGGATGCCAATTTTAGGACGCCACACTTTGGGATTCACACTTTGACGGAAAAGCAGAAAACGGAAAAGCAGTGGCCAATCAGAACTCACGCTGGTAGTAAGTAGTACAGAAAGCCGTAATTGTAGATTAGACTAGAGTTCTGATTGGCTGCTGCTTTTCCGCTTTCCGCTTTTCTGTCAAGATGTGGACGTGCCCTTATTCAATATGATAATGTAGAATCAAGTGACTCTAATGTTTTTGTCTCTAAGAAACAAATTTTCCAATTGGATATTGGACGTTCAGTATTCCCGTTGAACATTCCGACATTAAAACACGTGATTATTCAATTACGAAGATTTCGAATTTAAATTGAAGTTATAACTGAAAGAAAAAAATCGTTCAAATATATTTTATTCTTAAACGTAGAATGGGTAAAGAAAGTAGCGTCAATTTATGCTGATTGGCTCCGCCATTAAATGTCCTTACTGTTAGTAGAAAGAAGACAACGTTAAAGAAAGAAAAGATTAAGCGAGGAATTGCATTATACAGATTCCCCAGATATAGAATACAAAATGACGCTTCCGGCTAATTGTTGTCACTCTCTTTGTATGCACTCTATTTAAATGTAAAGCTCTACATATTATACAATATCAAAGCACCAACGAGATACTATTAAAGACCGTCAACCCTGAGCAAATTTTCGGTGTATTAAAAGGACCCCGAAGGTAATTGAAGAACGTTGACATTATCGACAATTGATATAAATTTGCTATAATTAACATAAATGTTTGGCTTATGCATTATTAAATTCATGATTTTTTTTATTATATAAATGTTCCATAACTAAATGTGCATACTTGTAAAGTTATAATATCCTATATATTGCAGAAAAATTATAATTTTTTCTCTGCAGTTATCATTTCTGTTGATAAACTTTGACGATACACTGAAATCACAATTTTAAAGAAAAATCGAATATTATTGAGTTCTAAATACATAAATACGTCAATTAAACTAATAAATCAAATTAAAATTAATACAATATTATCAGTTTCTAATAGTTCTTAATTACTTCACTATTCTCAAGGACACGAATTTTCGTAAGAATATCGGCCTTTAATAGTATCTCATCAATGGTTTCGCTTAAAATCAAAGTAACGTTAGTGCAACCGGGTTAATCCCTTAAATTTTAACAGGCACGTGAATTTCCATAAGCACCGAGAGTCTAATAATATCTTGTCGGCCTGTATTCAGAACGCGCTTACAATGATGTTAGTGTGCCAACATGCTGTAATTTACATTATGTATATTATAGAATTTTTTAGAGATAAAGGACCGTATTCAGGATATTAATCATAAAATTTTATTCCTAAGATGGAAAGTAAAAAGTAACAATTTTAATCATTGAAGTTAATGGAGAAATTTTTCACTTTTTTACTTTTCATCCTAGGAAAAAAATTTCATGATTGGCCTAGTTTCCACCGAGGGTTTAACTAGGGAAACTAGGCCACTGACAGTGAATTTTGGAATACTGCCATAGATACGTCAATGGATGGTATTTCTAAGTATCTCATATGCCCGGTTCGTATTCATTGAACGGCGTAGTGGAGCGGCATCGTTTTCCAAGGCACCGCGAATAGTTTTTCTCACGACGAGTTTTGCTCGACGACTTTTCTGACGAGTCGACTCTGATAAGCCTCAACGATCTTTGCGCATCCCGCTGTTTCGAGAAGAAAGTCTCTTGCTGTAATACAAAGAGAAAAGATACGTAGCCATGGGCGTGGATGTCGAAATCTTGAGTCCTGGAGACGGTAATTATGCAGTTTTATTTTTCTAGAGGACTCGCCGAATTTATCGTTCTCGTTTCTCCTCGGAAGAATCTCTTTCCTATTCCGTTCCATCTCTCTCATGCTCGCGCGCGCACCACACTATACTTGATATTCCGAGAATTATGCTTCACAACGTGCCTCATCTCGTGGCCTGAAATACAGCGAACTAGTGTGCCGATGCCGCGATGTTCTTTATTCGAAATAAAATGGACTATCAGCGACTTTGCCTTATTTATGTTGTTACTAATTTTAAATAGCAATGTATTTTCGTCTAGATTTTATCATCTAATATCATTTCATGAATATTTTCATATATGTAGGTCAAACCTATCCAAAGACTGGTCAAACAGTGGTCGTGCATTATACAGGTGAATATTTTATTGCTGAGCATTGATACTCTGATTTATATGTATGTATCATGTTTGAAGAAACAAAAGAATAGTTAACAAAATTTTTTCAAAGCTGCTACCATGTGGTAACATTATACAAATATGACCAGAGTTGAAAAGTAATGCATTACTTCTCATCTCTGATTATATTATTTAATATTATATTAAGTATTTTCTAGTTTCAATGTTTTCTCTGAAAATATTATGTATTTATTTCTCTAAATAATTTATACACATAAAAATCTTAAGATTATGTAAAAATAGAATGATTTCATTTCATAACATATTTATAGGTACCCTCGACAATGGGAAGAAATTTGATTCCAGCAGGGACCGTGGTATACCGTTTAAATTTAAAATTGGAAAGGGTGAAGTAATTAAAGGCTGGGACCAAGGAGTCGCACAAATGTGCGTCGGACAGCGGGCCAAGTTGACCTGTTCTCCAGATTTTGCTTATGGTAGCCGAGGCCACCCTGGAATATATCCTTTAATGCAAGATGATATAAAATACAGATTGAACATACAAAATAGAATACACTGGAACTTTTTTAATAATGCAATGATTGAGATACTGAATGATATAACAAGATTCTTACTTCATTCTCAAATCATGAAATTTAGGATTTTATTAAGTGTCATGGTTTTATCTCTTCTCAGACTGTTCACATGAGTCTAGCATGAAAGGGAAGAGATTTTGTGCTCCATTTTGAATTCGCTATCACGAGGTTCTAGTGTAATTATTTAGTATAATTCTATTTATAATTTTATATAAAAAAAGAACAAAAAAGAAAAAAAAACTATATTAGCCTTGACAAAGACACACTATCCCACCGAATGCCGTTCTTATCTTCGATGTGGAGTTGCTGAAGGTAGAACCTTGAAATACCTCTTAGAGCGTACCAAATTTGACCAAACGCATTTCAATACAAAAAAAAAAAAGAAACGCATCAAATTATGTTTAAGTAGTCGTCGCACGAATGGCACATCCTACTCTAATGCCTTAATTCAATCGCTCGTACATTATAATATATTTGCGATTTTTATGAAGTTACATACGAGATATTGAAAACGTTGTTTCTCCAACTTCGGAAACAACATACAATTTATACAATGTATAAATTGCAGATCAATAATATAATCGCATTTAAACATTATCGCATGGACTGTAGAGTCATATGTTAATATGTAGTTTGATTACTTGCTCTCCAAGAGATGCTACTTAACTTGTGTACTTGATTTAAAATCGACTAACCGTGTTCCTACGATGAGCGGTTGAATAAAGGGACTCTTCAGATGTTTGCAAAATAAAACCTGTGTTCATTCCATTTACTATGTATTTGGTGATCCTTCGAGTATTTTGTACAAAGATTCAATAAAGGAAAAAACAATTGGTAATGTAACGCTACAGGTTTTCATAAGATAAAGTACAACAGAAAATTATTCTCCGCTTCTTCAAGCGTATATATCTAAACATCTTTTTCTTCATAATTATACGAATAAATAATTGGAGAAAAATGTAAGAAGGATAAGCATTGCACTATAATAAATCTTTTTCCAGGTTAACATGTGTTTTAATATACGTATATTTACAAAATATTTCGAACTATTTTCTATATTTATAAATATACATTGTGCAACTTTTTTCAATCACTGACTTTGCCGTGAGAGAAAATTGTGTTTTTCGATCTAGAATACATAAAGAGATATACATAGATATACAATTTTTACTTTACATTAACATGATTAAGGAACAGTGCACATTTATGTAATTGATCTACTGCTGGAATATAATATATATCCAGATTATTTGTCTTAGTTTTTGCTGAAACCTAATTTATGTATATAGAACGATTCATTATACTTATGTGAACTTTTTTTTGTTTTCTCCAAATTTCTTCATTGAAATGTCGACATATTAGAGCGTGCGGTCACTACAAATTACTACAAATACTTTGAGGCATTTGATTGACTAATTAGAACAAAAAATTTACTAATTAACTAATCAAAGAATGTGTCTCAAAACATTTGTAGCATCATGCGACCGTGATTTTGAGTCAACTTACATTAATGAAAACAGTTGATTCAGTTTATGAAATTTGTGACGAGTCTATAGAATCATTATATATGTATAAGAAATTCCTATCTCTCTACTTTCATAAAACCATTCCATAACTATTGATAATTTTATAAAAACATCAATTAACCATTTTCATTGCAACTTATATTTTTATATATTTGAGACCTACTCATTACAAATAAATAAAATTAGTAACAGCAACTCAATAAAAAATATATATCTAGCAATATAAAACATAAAAATATTTTCTCTGTTATGTACACAAGTCAATCTTTAAAGTATAGGAGCTATTGTTCATGCTCAGTAATATGTAGATTTAATATAATGCAACACTATATTAATAGCTACAGTCCATTTGATGCTTTATAGAAATGCTTTGAAGCATTCATTGATTGATCAATTAGTAAAATTCTTTCTTTCAATTGGTCAATCAAATGTTTTGAAGCATTTGTAGCACTAAATGGCACTTAATGTTAATGCAACAGGAACATTAGCAGTTTAATATACAAACAACTCTGGGAAATGAATTTCGTAAGCTGGAGTTTGACTTGGTTTAGTATCTGTCTGTGGTCCGGTCGTAGGAACCGTATTGCGCGGATCAACGGATAGCGTATTAAATATCTCTGATAACTTACTCTGTAAAACATCGTGCTGTGAACAGAAAAGGAAATATTAGAAAGCTATATAAATTGATAATAAGTTTATAATATATTAATGAAACCTTTGGTTGTGTTTTTGATACTAAATCTTGGAATGGTGCATTTCTAAAAAACTGAGAAAGTTGCATTCGCTTCTCTTCTTCTATTACTTGATTATTGTTGCTCTCTGTCAAAATTCTTTTCATGCTTTCGAATGTTAATTCTTCTCCAGGTAATTTCTGCAAAAAATTAATTACGAATAGAAGGTAATAGTTAAAATTGTGCAATAATAATATACTTAAAACATGTTTTTTAATAATAACGATTAATTTATTAATTTATTAAATCAAATATGTGATATCTTCTAATATAAATTAAAATAAATGTAAATTATACCTTTTGTACACCCGGTGATGAACCTCCACTATCCAATTCTGGACCTCCAGAATTAATGTCAGCTAGTGAATTCCGTCCAGCATCAACCCATGAATGCCTATTTAAGCAAAATTTAATTTTATGTTATAAAACTTATATATAAGACAAAGCGACATTTTTTAAAAGTTTACAGCCAATTACTGGAGCACTATACGCAGTAGGTAATTACCTGTGTTGTAAAGAATTCCCACTGTAGCCTGAACCTTGTTGTAATTTTCCACTATCAAGACCAGCTCCTTTTAGACATTCGCTGACAACAGTTTGGTCGACTAAAAGAGCTGGCGCTAATCTGGATGTTAGACCAGTATCATATTGAGATTGTAAATTTGGTAGTAAATGAGGGCTATCGTTTCGACGTGCATCTATCACCTTCAAACGAATTTATTCAATCAATTGCGCATTTTGATTTTAACAATACATTGAAACTTTACTATAAAATAAATTAATGCGGTTTTGTGTGTGTGTGTGTGTGTGTGTGTGTGTGTGTGAGACAATTTGAAATTACCTACCTTTTTCGCATAATCCATGAGAGCGGTAATATTACAAACATACGATATTAAAATTAGTAAGCTGATAACTATTGCGTGTAAATTGAATTTAAGCGGAAGACTAATTTGACCACTTGTCAGTGCCAAGTCTTGCAGGCTCAATACCAATCTCAGTAACTCTAATACTGTTTCCTCAGAAGCTAATTCAATGGCAAGTAACGCCAGTGTGGTATAAATAGATTCCACATTTTCTACTGTATTACTAGACAGCTCTAATGATTCATACAGCGCCAAGTAGATTTCAGGACCGTGTTTCCGAATAAAGATTACATCAGGTCTAGAGGCTTTTTCAATAGCAAGATCGAGCTCTGCTACGTTCACACTAAAGCAAAAAAATTATCTTCAAAAATTCAAAAAAGAACGAATAATGTATATTAATAGACATTTGATTAAGAGATAAATTTACGTTGGTTTAGCGAGTTTTGTAATATTCCGTCGTCTGTCGATTAAGGTATGGAATATTTTCTGTACAAGAAGTCTCATTTCAGCATCTGCTGCCAATGACATTCTTAGTAATGGATCCAAGAAACTGGGTGGAAATGTTGTGTTCAAATGAATAGTTTGGTACTTGGTGCCAACCTGTATATAAATAAAAATTTGTAATTAAAAAAATCTATACCTTACATATATTTATATTTTTATAATAATAAAAACGATTTACCTTTAATAGCGACTTTAAAAGTATGCTTTGAAGTAATACATCTCCTTTGCCGACCGATACGATACGATCAGGCTGACTGTATGGAACTTTACTCATAATGAACATCATAATCTCAATTTTCTGGTAATCTGGAAGATGATTTGCGAACTCTCCAAGAGCATTAATAAGAGCTTCTTGATACAATTGCTCATCACTACTTGATGATTGGTTCCTCGTTACACTAACTCGTAGGTGAGATAATAAGGAATTTATAATTTCTAACACAGATGGTCCTAAAAAAAGAATATATCGTTAAGAGTTTAATGTGTGTATAATTTAATCTCTGTTATACGTTCAATGAATATTGTTTATATATATATATATATATATATATATAAATTTATATTATTCAATTTTTTATGTGTACTTACCAACACTTTCACCTGCAGCAATTGATATAATTTTAGACAAAGTATCCGCAATGCTAGTGCGAATCTTAGGGGACGATTTTGAGTGATCATCAAGATGTGTCATTAAAGCTTCCACTACAGTATAGGAATATTGTGACTAAAACATACATTAAAGTAATATTATTAATTATCTAATATATAAAATATTATTACTTGATTTACATCATTACATACTTGAATGGAAAACATAATTATTCTGAAAGTATGAATTGCGAAGTAGTTAGGGACCCATAACTGATGATTGTCCAGATGCCTTTATAATAGATAATTATTAAAATATCTCATATATGAATATATTTATATATACGTTAATTCATAACGAAATTTATTTTATACCTCAACACAGGTCTTATAACACATCTAATATGACCAAATGATGCGCGTCCGATCAGTTCTCGCATACAAGTTTCCGCAAACTGCGGTGGATCCGATCGTTCTTCAGTTGGACTGTCCGGTGTTGTGTCTTCCTTATCAGCATATCTAAAAATACAAGCTTGTCAACTTGCATGTTTCTCATAATATTCATTTCTTTTAAATTACCTTGAATTTTGCATGTTGTATAATAATGATGGTACAATCTTGTCCATATGTACAGGTTCCCAGATATTCTCAACCAAATCATCAGAAAGAGTTTTTCTCACAACGCCCTACAAAGATATATTTAAATATGTAGATGTAAGTTTTAATACAATCAATAATCTGATACATAATATTTTAGTCGTACCTGCAACCCTTGAATTCCAGCAAGCCTAATTTGCTTGCGTGTAGTGGGATCATCATTATTAGAATGGCACATTGCCGAATATTTCGACACGAAGAAATCATAACGAGTATGATACGAGGGTGTGTCTTCCTCAATATTAGCAAATCTGACAAACTGAGAATCAATATGTTAATTATTTAAAATTAATTGGATAGAATATAGAATTGAGTAAGATTAATGTTAATTCATTAAGATTATTACTTACAGACTGCGTTGCAAGAATTTGTAATTGAGGATCAGTAGATTCCAGCAATTTTTGTACCATTTTCAAGAAACTCTCAACAAATAGATTCAGAGTTTGTGCATGACAAGCTACCAGGAGTTGGTCCATTGCCTCCATGGCGATCACAACAAAGCCATTTCGTCTCCTATCAAAGCATGATGTTTTATTAAGTAGAATATTTTTATGTAGTGCATCGAAAAATATATTAGCATGCTATGTATAGAAATATTACATAATCATGTTTTAGCAGTAATTAGGATTAATTTCTCTAATTTTTATGTATAATATACTATTAAAGATGTAATTATATCACAATTTTATATTACCTATAAATATCCCTAGAAGCTCGTTGAAACAGATATTCTCCAATCCTATCTAATTTCTCAGGACTGCTCAACGAATAAAATGTTAGTTTCTCCATATTGTTTTTAATCAAGCCATCCTGAAGAATAGAAGTCCATTATTACAAATTGTTGCGTATGAGACATATGTCAATCGCATTTCTCATTCGGCGCAAATATCATAGGTTCAACCATAAATAGAATAATCATTTTGATCTCTTTCGCCTATCAAGGCTAGTGTTTATTGATTTACTCGCGAACAAAATTATAAAACATAGTAGACAGAAATGAAATGTATGAGACGAGAGAAAAAAGAAAAAAAGATTCCAAGATCTCACCTGAGGATTAACCGGAAAAATATTATCAACGAGCCTCTTGTATCTCGGACGTAACGCAGCACAACACCAACAACAGCCTAATAAAGAAGAAAAGAATGAATATACGCTATATATTGCCGTCCGATTACAATTCAATTAGCATCTTCGAAAATACTTTTCGAAATAATTTTTTGGCTGTATAAATGGCCATACTTACCGAACATTGCGATAGCTTCTGTGACAACTGACAAGTAGCACTTGATAAATACCTATTCAAAACTAACAATTGACAGCAGACTATGAGCTATGCACCGTGACGTAAGCGCATATACGCATACTTTGATTAATCGACCCACTATCGATACTTTAATAACTATCGACCAAAAACATACACTAACTTCGAGAGAAAGTGTGGACCCGCGTTTTTCAAAAATGTAATGTTTACTGACGTTTCGATCTATATGCATAGAACATGAATTTCTTATTAATCTTTGATCATACAATGTTTAAATAAAATATATATATGTATAATATATAGAAAATAGAAAAAAAATAAAAAATTATCTGCGACTTATGAGATAATATAGATGTAACCAGCATTACGCAAGATGCTCGACCAAATGTTGTTTAGGATCAGGTTCTGAATAACATTTGTCAAGTTCAAAGTCATTGGAGATTGTACCTCTTATTTTCATTTTTAAAATGTAAAACTTTGCAAGTACAAAAATA